GGGGGGGTTGGACCCACCTGCAGCCGCTGTAGCCGGGGGGTGCGGCAGGCGGGGGGCACCCAGGGCGTCCCCAGCTGCTCCTTGATCGTCGCGGCGATGGCGCGGAGTAGCCCGGCCGATTTCCCTGCAAGGGGGGCAAAGGTCACGGCCAGCACCGCCACCGCCGCCCCCCCCCCCGCCATGGCCCCTGCCTCCTACCCCATAGATCCCCCCTCCCCCTCCGATCCGCCCCCCCCGACACACCTTCAACCCCGCCGTGAGGCCCCTCCCCACGCCCCACAAGTCCCCCGGGTACCGGCCGGCTGCCTGGCATCCTCAGCGTCGTCCCTGGGCAGCTTCTCCACCAGGAACAGCAGGAGGCGCCGGATCTCGGGCTCGCTGCTGTACAGGAAAGTCTGGTACCCGACGTCACCCTGGTAGCCCAGCTCCTGGGGGGCGGGGGGGAGAGCGTCAGGACGCCTGGGTTCTCTGCCTGGCTTGGGGAGGGGAGTGGGGTCTAGTGGTTAGAGCAGGGGGGGCTGGGAGCCACGACTCCTGGGTTCTCTGCCCGGCTCTGGGAGGGGAGTGGGGGCCTGGTGGTTAGAGCGGGGGCAGGGGGGGCTGGGAGCCAGGATGCCTGGGTTCTCTCCCCAGCTCTGGGAGGGGCAGGGGGCTAGGAGCCCGGACTCCGGGGTTCTCTCCCCAGCTCTGGGAGGGGAGTGGGGGCTGGTGGTTAGAGAAGGTGGGGGCTGGGAGCCCGGACTCCCGGGTCTCTCACCTGGCAGGCCTGGGCCAGGCTGGTGCCGACGCGGAACCGGGCCGACATGCCGGGGGGCAGCACGTGGCCAAGGCTGGCGCCCAGCGACGGGTGAATGACGCGGAGGCATCGCACTACCGACTCCACGATCAGCTCCGTGGTGAACTCCTGCAGGCTCTGCACCTCCTCGGGGACCTGCCTGTGGGGAGCCGGGAACCGCCGTCACACAGCCCCCACGGCGGGCAGGGACCCGGCGCCACACAGCAGCCACCTCTGGGGCGCGGCAGCTAGGAAACAGCCGCACAGAACGCCGCAGAGGGACGGCTCGCCCAGCGCTGGAATTCGACCAGCACTGATGGGTGGGGAGATCACCCCCTGCCGAGCCCCACGCCCAGCCCCATGGCACCCCCCAGCCCCACTGAGCCCCCCACCCTGCTTCCTGCCCCATGGCGTCCCCCAGCCCTGAGCGCCAGGGGAGAGCCCCCCGCTGAGTCTCATGGCATCCCCCAGCGCCCAGCCCCACTGAGCCCCCCACCCTGCTTCCCGCCCCACGGCACCGCCCAGCCCCCCAGCGCCCCCCAGCAGGGGGCGGGGCTTACGTTCCGGAGAGGCGGAGTGAGTGGATGAGGATCTTGTCGACCTCCTCCATAATGGGCGGGGAGGGGCCCCCAAGCAGCGACCCCTGGGGGGGGGGGAAGAGAGAGAGAGAGAGTGGGATTCGCACCCGGAACTGGGGGGCACAGCTGGGGGGGCGATGTGCAGAGGCTGGGGGGCGGGGGGCACAGCTGGGGGGGATGTGCAGAGGCTGGGGGGCGGGGGCACAGCGTGGGTTCAGGGGCGGAGGGATCTGGGGGGCAGAGCTGAGGGTCGGGGGGGCTCCGGGGGGGTCCCGGGTCACACTCACAGGTTCCCTCTTTGCGCTTCTGCAGCCACGGAGTCACAGGAGCTGCTGCAAGGGCCGCTGGGATCTGTAGTCCGGCCCCGCCCCCAGCCCGGTGCATGCTGGGGTGTGTAGTCCAGCCCCACCTCCCTAGCCCGGTGCATGCTGGGGTGTGTAGTCCGGCTCCGCCCCCAGCCCGGTGCATGCTGGGGTGTGTAGTCCGGCTCCGCCCCCAGCCCGGTGCATGCTAGGGTGTGTAGTCCGGCCCCGCCCCCAACCCGGTGCATGCTGGGGTGTGTAGTCCGGCCCCGCCCCAACCCGGTGCATGCTGGGG